ACTGATGGGATCTGTGACCTGCATGTGAGGTTAGATCTAAACCAAAGGGTGCTGGAGGTGGTCAGATAAATACCCGTTAGCTTCTGCAGTGGCAGGCGATGATCAATGGTGTCGAAGGCCTTAGATAGCACCTGTTAATTTACCATCGTCCATATTCTTGAAGGTATTGTCTGCAAAATGTGTCGAGGCTGTCCCAGTTGATAACTTCGGTTTGAACCCAAATTGTTTGGTTGCAAAGATCCTCATTGCTCGCAAGATGGATGTTTAGCGCTCTTTCCAAGATTTTGCTCATCGTCGGCATAACGGTAATCTTGTAATTGGCCTTCAGTTATTTACGTTGCAAGGATCACCTTTGTTAAACAACACTGCCATTTATCCAAATTTCCAAAGAGAAGGGAAAGTCCGAGTTTCTAGAGAACATTTCTAGAGAACTTCACTTTAAATTTACAACGAATGCATACATGGATGCCTTAAATAGATTAATAAAAAGGCATGTTTGTTACGTTACATGCAGACGCGTGACAGACGTGATTGTAAAAACTTTTTATTTTGGAAGAAAAATATACAAAGAAAAAATAAAGAAAAGTTGGAAAGTGAAATTTTATGAAAATATCAGAACGAAAAGTCGTAGGAGTCTGCTTGTGAAGGATTTGAAGCATGTTAGTGGGCCAGAATCCTAAATCCTTGAATCTGATTGGCTAATTTCGCGCTCGGAAGCGGTCAAGCTATTTACATTACGGACCATGTTCTGAATTTTCTTTTGCGCGCCATACGCGGCAAATTGAGGACAAAAGCAAAAATACAGAAGCAAATGAAGAAGTTAGTTAGGAATCGGTCATTGTCTATCACCTGGGAGGGGCGGGAGATTATGGTTGTGTTACGATCAAATTTACCTGTTCCCCTTAGGCTCTCTAATATTCTTTTGACCTCCCTTAACTAGCAGTTAATCGGTAGTAATTTTCTGTAGTTCGAATTTCATATTCTGTCAGTGGCGACTGATCTCCCTTCTGTCCGGCCCTCCTATAGATATCAAGTGATTCTCCCAAAAAATCTCCGTCCCAGGCTGTAAATAATGACGATCCTTACTGGCCTAGGTCGGTTCGTATGGGAAAAAAACTGTCCTTAGTCTTGAGTATAGTTATAGGCCATGGACTTAGCAAATAAGATTTCTTTTTTCCATCAGGCTGAGTACGATGTCAAGTTGTCATTTGTGAGTAAATCGATCACTTGCTTTCCCGAAAAAAACATAAGATGGTGCTACGCGTAAGCAAACCATTATTTGCAACCAGTTGTTTCCTGGTCACGTGACAGAAAAAACAGGTATGCACTACAAACATATGGTTAGTGCTTTAATTTTCGCGGTATTATTAGTCTTGTCATGTTTGACACAGTGCTGTATTGTATATCTTTAACTGTGTTATATCGTCTAGTTTTCCTTTTCAAGTTTACCTGGTTTCCTGAGAGTCATGTTCTTTTTGCGATTTATATAGTTAACAACAGAACGTGACTGTACCCTTTAACCTATTTTGTGTTTAAAAAAAGCGTGAATATAGATAGTCGCTCCTGAGAAAAAAGAAGTATAATCCACATTAAATACAATCGATCAAACCTTACTTCAATTTGCCATTTCCTATTCCCCTCTCCACTTTCCAGAGATCCTTCCTTCTTCCTTATTCCTTATTTTCCATTGCCCTTTCTCGGTTCCTTTCCTATTCCACTCTTTACTTGCATTGAATCCAGCGGATATTTCTATTCAACTGTGAACATTCAAACACAAAGCAGTAAAGTCAACGACATGAAAACACCAAATTCCTGATATTTTTTAATTGATGGCCCTAAAGGAATGGATGGAAAGCGTGCGGGATACAAACGTTATAGGTAAGGGGTGTTATGTCGGGCATATATGGCCCTACCAAGCCTCATTCCCCTCTTCACTCTCCAGCAAATATATTGATAATATCTAAAATATAAAACCAATAGCGTCTAACTGATACTAATGAGACACTTGTTAAATTCTGTCTATGGTATACCGCCAACTCGCTTGTTCTTTCAGATTTGCCTTTCCTAGTCGCTCTTAAGAAGTATATAAAAGGACAGGTATGAAAACCGTAAAACCGGTTAAGGGTAATCCACTTTCTCTCAAGTCCCTTACTTATTGTTCGATGCCAGGTCCTTTACCTTGGGGAAATGCTTGACTTTCAAACTTCATGAGAAGCGGGCAAAGTAGGGTGAAATATGACAGTGATGGGACTGGTACGAGAAAAATTAGAATTGCAACCGCAGTTTCATAAAGCACTTGGTCAGTGGTTGATATTCACATAGTGCAACCTTTTTAGTTGTAAAAAAGGGTAATTAGTGGATAACTGGCAGACAGTTTTGTTTAAAGTTGTGGTATCTGAGAGTCTGGTAAATGTAGCTTATGAACTCGGTCGAATTTTCTGTAAAAAGAAAAATAAGCCATTGGTATTTACAGCGAACGACTTTGTCATTCCAGTGATTGAACCGACATTTCCGGTTGACATAGTATGCTCAGCCGTGGTTATTTCATCTCACAAAAATTTGCAATAAAAAATCAAAGATTGGTTAAACAATGAGGCAAGCAATAGAGAACTTTACAAAGCCAGCTTTTATTTCGTGACCATTGGTGCGTGTGTGTTTCCTGTTTGATTTTTTTTCAACAGTAATTTGTCTGTGAGCATTTCGGTTCATTCTGGTCTCCACGTAATGCGAAGAGTGTTGCAGAAAACCTCCCCACTATGTTATTAAGCCAAAGCGGCTCGCTCCACTTTAATCATAGGAATCATAAGTCAGTAAAAAGTGATGCTCTTTGAAAAAAGTCATGATTGATGCGTAGGTAAATAGACTGAAGAATTTAATTTTTTTAACTCTTGTCATATGACGCAGAGCATTGCAGTCTTCTTTGCATTATTTTCATTGTACTCTTTAGATAAGACAGTTTGTAATTGCTCAACTTTCATGTGGTCCGTGCATCATTTCGCCAAAATAATTGTGCATTGGGCTGGAATAATGACCAATGTTGAATGAGAACACAGGCAATATCGATGTTCGATTAAATAATTCATTTTTTTTATGCACTCTCGTACTCTCGTCGATTGTAAGGAGTTCCTAGCCCCTGAAAGAATGATATTTTCAACTATTCGTAAATTTGAACCACGCTAAAAATTCAGGAAAATGCCAGTCTCTTTCGTAATAGCGGAATAACGGCGCGGAAATGGCGCGAGTCAAACGGAAGTGATGTCTTTACTTCAAGGAGGTTATTGTTAACACGAGGAACGACTATTGATTATTTTATTCCCACTTCTTCGTTGAAAGAAATCATTTTGGATTGTACGTGGATGGAATA